CGGGGGGGGGGGGGGGGGGGGGGTTTTTTTTTTTTTTTTTTTTTTTTTTTTTTTTGTTTTTTTTTTTTTTTTTTTTTTTTTTTGGTGGGGGTAGTCTCTCTCTAGCTCCAGTTGGGGCCTGAAACTCAGTATGTAGACCAGGCTAGCCTTGATTTCACAGAGATCCACCCGCCTCTGCTTCCTGATTGCTGGGATTAAAGGTATGTGACACCATGCCTGGCTGTTAGGTTTCTTTATATATTAACCTATCTATTCTGACACCAAGAAACACTAGCCATTCTATTTTGCTCTTTAAGAAGTGTTATCTGAGACTGGAGAGATGGCTCAGTCATTAAGAGCACTGACTGAGCTTGCAGAGAACCTGGGTTCGACTCCTAGCACCCACATGACAGCTAACAACTGTTCATAACTCCAGTTCTGGGGATCTGACGCCTTCTTCTGACTTCCGCACGCATTGCATGACATAGGTGCACTTATACACGTGTAGGCAATACACTCATACACATAAATTTAAAATAATTTAAAAAAGAAGTTATCTGTTCATATTACATTTCAACACAATATAATTCAGAGTTAATGTGAAGATTAAATGAAGTTATATAGAGTGCTCATCAGCATGTTTTATAATATCTACCTATGACTTTTGTATTCCTTTAAAGATTTACTTTTATTAGTTTTATGTGTGTCTGTGAGTGAATGCCACATGCGAGTAGGCACCCATGGAGTCCAGAGAAAGCCTCAGATCCCCGGGAGCTGGAGTCACAGGAGATTATGGCTCCTGATGTGGGTGCTAGGAACCAAACTCTGGATCTTTCCAAGAGCAGCAAGTACTACTAACCACTGAGCCATGTCTCCAGTCCCTTTTGTGTGCTTTTAAATAAAAAATTAATAATAGCATTACTTTGTATGAGGCTCTTATCTGATTTCATTTTCTTAGTCTGTGCCCACATACACATACTGTGCATATCATTAAGCATCCAATAAATGAGTACTAAAATTTAAAGTAGTACAAGAACACAGAGTCTGGTACTTACTATTTACATATCCTAAGACAAATCTGGTCCCTTACCTGTCAACAGAGGTAAAAGTACCGACACAAAGGCTGCTTTGCTACATAAATGAGATGATACATTTGAACTCCTTAGCATATTTTGTTTTCATTTATCAGGATGTTTAACTCAAAAGTTTAACTTAAAAGCCCTGGGTTGCAGCAGCAGCTCAGTGGCAGGGCGCTTGCCTGGCACATGCCAGGCTCTGTGTCCAATCTCACCACCAAAAAGCAACAAAAACAAAAGGCCAGAAGTGTTCGGATCTTATTTCCAACTCAGTGCCATGTGACTTTAAGTTGCCCATTCTTCTATTTCCTTATCTATAAACCGAGGATAAGATGAACCTCAAAGCCAGTGGGGAAGATCAGCATCAAGCATCATTACCACAGTGATGCTATTAATTTTATCTGTTTAAAGAGCAAAAAGTCATAGGTGAACAAAATAAGATGGGTACTACTGGGAAACTTTGGAGCTTTCTTTGATCTCAGTTCCAAACATTATATATCACTGATGAGTATAGGTCCAAGTCAGAAATTGCTTTTCACATCTATGAAATTAAGTGTACCTAAACAACTAGATAATAAAGGAAAAAATAAGGAAGCAGTAAATAATTTGGTAGTAACATTAAAATTTGTGATAGCTACAGAGCAATCCTCTATTAATCATGGGGCCCCAAAGGCAGTATTGCTGATGGAGATAAAAGAGGAAAATGTGGGGCTGGAGAGATGACTCAGCGGTTAAGAGCACTGACTGCTCTTGCAGAGGACCCAGGTTCGATTCCTAGCACCCACATGGTGGCTACAAACCATCCTTAACTCATTCCAGGGGAATCCAAAGCCCTCTTTTGACCTCCACGGCATTGCACGACACAGGTGCACTCACATACATGCAGGCAATACACTCATACACATAACATAAAAACAATAAATAAAATTACATATTTTTAAAAATTGCTTTAAAAAAATTTAAAAAAAAAAGAGGAAGCTGGGCGTGGTGGCGCACACCTTTAATCCCAGAACTTGGGGGGGCAGAGGCAGGCGGATCTTTGTGAGTTTGAAGCCAGCCTGCAGGGCGAGTTCCAGGCCAGCTGGGGCTACAGGGAGAACCTGTCTCAAAAAAACAAAAACGAAACAAAATAAAAATAAAATGACTACAGCAAATAATAAAGTCCTTATAAATGTCCATGTTTTGATAAAACCAAATTTATATATGTTGAAATCTCCTCATTCACCTTCTTCAGCCACTGAGGAAACTACTGCTCCTTAGTAGATTCCCGGCCAGTAATGTTATAGAATTCACTTCCTAAAGTCTTTTAAACGATACAAAACTTCTGAAGTTAAACACAGTTTATATTTTAAATTCCCCACGCTGTCTTATATTTCAAACACGTGTACTCTTCCCATATGTCTATAAATCACTATAGACTGTTTTTCTAAGTAAAACACGAAAAGCAACTGGCGTGGTCTTTTCACATTTAAAGGTCGGAAGTTATCCCTCGACATCAGGAATCATAGTTTGAAATTTTTTTTATAAGTGCATAAATTTAATTTCAAAACTGGTAAAGTTACAGTTGTTAAGAGATTACAGAATCTTAGTTTCACGCACAAAGTTGTGGCAGGGGAGGGGGGATAACAATGCAAACTTACCAATGAGGATAAGGCTAGGAATCTACTCCCTTGGCCTGGAAATTCAAAGTTCATCGAGATCCCTGTCATCAACTGGCACTCTCTTTTCCTCTGACTATATATTCCTTACTCCCATCCAATGCCAGTACAGTATCTAATCCATTTCCTAGGAATCATATTCTAACATATATTTAATTTATAGACACAGTTACACAGATATCTTTGTATGCTTGCAAAATGTAAAACTCTTCTATTAGTTCTGATGAAAGTAGAAACAGGCTAGAGAGGCAGCTCAGCGGTTTGGAGCACATACTGAAATTCCAGAGGACCTGAGTTCAACTCCCAGCAACCTATCAGGTGGCTCACAACCACTTGTAATTCCAGCTCCCGGGAGACTTTAAATCTCTGGTTTCTCAGGCACCTGCACCCCTACCACACAGGCACACACATATACACATAATTAAAAGTGAAATCTTTTACAAAAAGACACAGCAGAAACCTCTAAGAGGCTACCATGTTATTCTTCCGTTGAACATGTGGCTACTCACCTCTGCACTCTTCATAGCTTTGAGGATATTCCCCACTGTGTCAGGAAAGGTGTTACCCAGTATTCTACCCAACTTCCTGTACAAGGAGCCCAAACAGACCACAGCAGCACTGAAACAACATTTAAATGAGAAATTAAGTCACGGCTAAAAAACAAGATGAAAAAAGATAAAGACGATGTCAAGGTTAACTATTAAAACCTTCACCTCCTATTGGCTGTACTTTTACTCTCTTGGGAGTATTTTTTGAAATACAAATGCAATGCTTTCAATTGTGATGAAGCACCATTTACCTATATTTTCTTTTGTCTTACTTTACTACTTAAAAAAATGACATGAACATATAAAGTCCAAAGAATTTAAAATACTTTTTTTTTTTTTTTTTTTTTTTTTTTTTTTTTGGTCTTTTTGAGACAGGGTCTCCCTGTAGCCCCAGCTGGCTTAGAGCTCACTATGTAGACCAGGCTGGCCTTGAACTCACAGAGATTCGCCTGCCTCTTCCTCCCAAATGCTGGGACTAAAGGCCTGCACCACCGCTCCTGGCTCTTAAAATACATTCTTAAGTTTTGGAAAAATGTTTCGAATCTCAAATCTCAACTTACTGTACTTAAGTCTTACTCATTTCTGTTGTTATTAATTGTAGTACTAAGGATTGAATCCAGGGCCTTATACATGCTAAGCACTGAGGTGATTATTACTTAATCCAGGGCCTTCTGAATGCTGGGCATGTGTTCTCCTATTGAGCTATATCCTTGGCTTCTAAAGTATTTTTAATTTTTTATTTTATGTGTATGAGTATATTGCCTGCATGTAAGTAAGTGCATCCATGCTGTGCAATGCCTGCAGAGAACAGAAGAGGCCGTCAGATCCCTTGGAACTAGCGTTACGGACAGTTGTTGCTGCCACATGGGTGCTGGGATTCAAACCCAGGTCTTCTGCAAGAACAACCAGTGTTCTTAACTGCTGAGCCATCTCTCCAGCTCCGGCCTCTAAAGTATTTTTAAAAGGACTTTCTGTCAACAGAAAGTTAGATTATTTTACAGAGTATAAATTGAAACAAACGGTATTTATGTTTAATTTCAAAATAGTTATCAAGGAGGTTATGTACTTTAGAGAAATCACAAGGGGTCTGGAGAGATGATTCAGTGGTTAAGAGCACTGGCTGGTCTTCCACAGGACCCAGATTTGGTTCCCAGCACCCATATGGTGGCTAACAACTGTCTGTAACTCCAGTTCCAGGGAATCTGAATCTGATGCCCTCTTCTGGCCTCCACAGGCACTGCATTACGCAGGTGCACTTGCAGTTAAAAGACTCATACGCATAAAATAAAAAATAAATACATTTTTAAAAGTTAAGAAGGGTTCAAGGCCAGGCTGGTCTAAAGTGAGTTCAGGCCAGCTGGGGCTACAGGGAGACCCTGCCTCAAAAAACAAAATGAAACAAAAATAAATAAAAATTAAAATTAAAAAGCAGAGGCTAGAGAGAGGGCTCAGAGGTTAAGAGCACTGGCTGCACTTGCAAGGATCTGGGTTCTAATCCCAGCACCCATGTGATGGGATCCAACATCTTCTGACCTCCGCAGGCAGTGCGTGACATGGGTGCACTTACATGCATGCAGGCTATAAACCCATACACATAAAATAAAATACTAATAAAGAGGAAACAACCACAAAAGAAAGCAGCATGTGTACTGTAGGTTTTGAAGTTTAACTTACAGTTTCGTGGGAAGATAACTTGGAGAATCATCTTTACTACGAATAAGATCATTACACTTGTCGATTGTCTCGTACACAGAAAATGTGTCTCCAATGCTATAAAGTATGGCTAGATTCTTGGCAAGGAGTTTGCGAGTAGGAGGCCCTGGGGAGCTGTTCAATAAAGACAGGAGCTGTTCAACAAGAGTCTTCTGTTTCTCTCTTACATCACTCTACAAAAAAAGGTAACAAAAGACAACTCCATGTTAATATAATTATATGGAATCATATGGTGTTATTTTTCCCTAGGAAAGCTCAAAATAATTTTGAATGAGAGCTACAAATCTGCTGTTAATATGGCTGTTGTGCTGCTCTGATAGGTATCTTGTCATGAAAATCACCAAAAAAGGAAATTCTGAAATACACTGTTCAGTCTGTGAACAAAGCAGAGTTCTACGTTTTCTAAATCTTTCCATTTGAAAGACAACAAAATTGAAGTCTGGGAGCTTCTTCACTATGAAGCCAACTGTCTACTTTGCCAGCACAATATGGCGGTGGCCCACGGTCCATAACGAAGCTGACCTTGCAGTGGCTTCCTGATTTATTCAGGCCTTTCCTACATTTGGTACAATTTTCTTTTTATGAGCTTATGCATATAAAATGCTAACAATGTTACTTTATTTTACTTACATGTTTTCTCAAGAAAGAGCACAAACTATCATGACACGCTGATGGCACTCTGCTCATTAAGGTCTAAATTCCACAAGTTTGTAGTTGTTCACTTAGTATGCAGAACTTGGGTTTTGTTAAATTTATTTCTCTAAACCTAGAACTTGCTTTTAATCTCTTCTTGAAGATAGGCAAATTTATCAAATCTTTCACATCATACAGCCAGACAGCTCTAACTTGCCTAAGAACCAGAATGCATTTTTTAATGGCTTAAAAACATTTTGAACCGACAAATATTTGTCTTTTGTTAAGTTGTAAATGTGCCCAGGAGGCTTGTGTGGTGCTGGCTATTGTACAACCTGACCTCACCATAAGCAATGCTTTATACATGCTCCATAAGTCAATGAATGCAACACGGTAAAGTGTTAACGGCTAAATGTAGGTACACAGTATGAAAAGTCAGGTTTCTTTCTTTGTATCTATTTCACGAGGTTTTTGAGAGGGAGTATGTTTATCAAAAGGCTTTCAAATTCGTACTCTCCCTAAAACCTTTACATCTTTTTAAAAAAGGTTTTTAAATCTAATTATGTCTATACGTGTGTTTCTGTGTAGGGGTATGTACACATGAGTGCAGGTGTCCACAGAGACCAGAGGCATCAGATCCCCCTGAAGCTGCAGTTACAGGCAGTTGTGAGCCACCCTGTGTGAGTGCTGGGAACTGAACTCAAGTCCACTGCGAGAGCAGTAAGTGCTCTTAACTGCTGAGTCATCTCTCCAGCCTTCATCTTTACATCTTTTTACACCACAGGGCATCAGGGCTTCATGTATATGGAGAAACAACATGCAGGAGATAATGAAAATGAAGCATACATATAGTATGCTCTAATTACATGTTGTATGTGTGCATGTATGTATACATATGTGTGTATGTATTCTGAAGTACTAAAGATCGAACCCAAGACCTCGTGCTTGCCAGGCAAGCACACTACCACTGAGCTATATTCCCCATCCAAGTATTACAAGTACTTATAAAGTACTATAAAAAACACTGCCTAATTTTTTTCTGCTTTTTTCAACTTGTAAGATTAAAATAAATTTTGGGAAGGGCCAAGAAATGGGCTATAGTTCATTATTAAGTCTTAACAAAGTCTACCTTTGAAAAGCTAACTTAGGTCACTGTAGATCAGGCAAGAGAAGCAAACCAAAGACTCTAAATGCCTCTGGCATTTCCTTCGTAATTTTACATACCCTGCTGGCCGTGAGCAAGAGAGTCTCCAAGTTCCTCAACCACTCAAAGACAAACTCAGCCTTCCGCACTTCACCGAGCTGCTGGTGTGCGCCTTCATTCAGCAGCAAGCTGTGAGCCAGTTCCATCCTTGCAGCAAGTTCTCCTAGCGGGTCACACGTCTCATTTATAAACATCAGCAAACGTACCTAACAGTGAAAATCTGCAATAGAAAACAACATTCTGAAAATCAAAGGCAATCAGAACACTGGAAATTCCCACTGAAAAGGAAAAGCAATCAGAACACTGTAAATCCCACTGAAAAGGAAAAGCAATCAGAACACTGGAAATCCCACTGAAAAGGAAAAGCAATCAGAACACTGGAAATCCCACTGAAAAGGAAAAGCATAGCTCCACACGTATTTCTTATAGCTTCTCTGGGGGTAAATCTGAGAAAAGTCCCAGTGGTAAGCTCTAGTTTGCCGACCTGAATTCACCTTCCTGTGCACTATTCATTTTCAAAGGGACAGACGAGTCAACTGGGGTAGCATTATGCGTGCCCACAGGCAAAAACTCATTAAAAACAAGAGATGGTCCACTTAAATTCTGCACTACTCCATGTCAGGGTTTTAATAATTTTATTTATTTTCTGTGTATGAATGTTTTGCCTGCATGTATGTAAGTGCACCCATGTGTATAATACCTCTGGAGGCTAGAAGAGGGTGACTAAAATGTAGGTATTTATTAACAAATGGCCAAACAGCCAGACCAACTAAAATTCTAGAGTAAAGCTTGCCACTTCCCCAGGTCTCTGGAGACCTAAACAAAGAATAGGCACGCTTACACTCCTCAGCATCTGTTTCCTAGTCTAGTGAAGATATTACTTGTAGCTGTACGCTAGTGTTTTAGGACAGTCCATCTCAACCAGCAGGTAGTCGCCCCTGTGCACCTTGCTGTAAGCACAGACTTATTTCTGATGGCCCTTGGGGGATGCCCTCCAGAACTGTAGCAGTACAGCTCGTATCTATTCTGACCCAGATCCAATGTAGCCTTAATGCCACTGTAGCAAATAAGCAACAGAAGACACAGGAGGAAATCTGTGGCTTATTTTATTCACCAGCATGACCTGGGTACAGCAAGCCTTTCCAGAATATACATAAAATATAAATTCACAGAAGCTTGCAAAATGGCACTATAAGTATAGGATTTTTTTTAATGGAAGTGCATGTAGGTATGTAACAAGTATGTTGCAGAAAAGTATTTTTAAATGATTAACTCAATCAATCAAAAATATGGCAAAATGTTAACAGGTAAGAGTGGGCAAGAGAGGGATTATTTTACTACTCTTCAACTTTATTTGCACTTTTTTTTTTTTTGTCTTTTTTTTGAAGCAGGGTCTCCCTGTAGCCCCAGCTGTCCTGGAACTCACTATGTAGACCAGGCTGGCCTTGAACTCACAGGGACCCATCTGCCTCTGCCTCCCAAGTGCTGGGACTACAGGCGTGCGCCACAATGCCCGGCATTATTTGCATTTTTAAAACTATCACAATGAAATGTAGAAAAATTGTTCAAGTAAGAGGTTTTTTTTTTTTTTAAGCTGGCTTATAATATATACTATTTGGACTGGAGAGATGGCTTGATGTGGCTTGATGGTTAAGAGCTCTGGCTGCTCTTGCACAGGACCCATTCTGGGTTCCCAGCACCCACATGGCAGCTAACAATTGGCTGAGACTCCAGTTCTCTATGCATGGGCAGTGCATAGAGCAGGTGTACTTACACAATGCAGGTAAAACATTCATACACATTAAAAAAAGAAAGAAAACTCAAAAATGCTATCTGAGGGCCAGCAAGATGGCTCAGCAGATAAAAGCACTTGCCACCAACCCTAACAATCTGAGTTCAATCCCCAAGACCCACAATGGTGAAAGAAAACCTATTCCCGCACATTGTCCTGTAATCTCCACACACGACTTCACACACACACACACACACACACACACACACACACACACACACACACACATGCTTCCATATGTACACATAATTAAATAAATTTTAAAAATAGCACCCAAGTGTGAATGCACAAGCCCGCAGTTCAGCTACTTACGAAGCTGGGGCAGGAGGACCACTTGCGCTCAGTGGTTTGGGGCTGCCTGGGCAACACAGCAAGATCCTCTCTTAGACAAGAGAATTACAACTAGTTACAGAAATAGAAGCAGCTATCAGCAAGAACATTAAACAACAGGGCAGGCACCGTACAGATACACAGAAGATAAGTTCTCTGATGTGTCAGAAAATGTTAGTAAAATTCCAAAACAAAATGGGAACGGGCCACTTCACATACTGACTGCTACAGGTAATTAAAAGTATTTAAAATACATACTTTATGACCCCTGAACAATCTTAATATCTTAATATTTTAACAGAGAAACCCTATCAGATATAACTACTGTATACCTGAAAAGAGGTTTTTTGTTTTTGTTTTTGTTTTTGTTTTTGTCTTTTGCAGGGTCTCCCTGCAACCCAGGCTGACCTGGAACTCACTGTGTAGAGCAGGCTGGCCTTGATCTCATAGAGATCGCCTGCCTCTGCCTCTGAGTGCTGGGATTAAAGGCATGCACCACCGCTCCCAGCTAAGAAATTAATTTTTATGGAGACAACATGAAATCTAGGTTCTTGCTTAAAAGCTCTTTCCCTTCTTAAGTTATCAAAATGGGCTGGTGTATTGGCTCAGCAGTAAAGTTCCTGTGCTGAGGTTATTACACAGGCGTGATAACCAGAGTTAGGATCCCAGAAGCTATGTAAATGCTATGTGGGCTTTGCAGCCCACCTGTGATTCCAGGCCCTGGGCAACAGAAACATGGGATCACTGGAGCAAGCTGGCTAGCCAGACTAACCACATCAGGAGCTCTGGGTTCCACTGACAGACCAGCCAGACTAACCACATCAGGAGCTCTGGGTTCCACTGACAGACCAGCCAGACTAACCACATCAGGAGCTCTGGGTTCCACTGACAGACCAGCCAGACTAACCATATCAGGAGCTCTGGGTTCCACTGACAGACCTTGCCTCAAGGCACTAGGGGAAAGCAACTCCTGATGGAAGAATGACTCCTGATGTCAGCTTCTGGCCTCTACTTGCACATCCACACATCGACATGTGCGCCCCATACATAGGTGTCCACACACATAAACATTCATACATACACACATACCACCTATACATGAGGAAAAAAATTATCAAAATGAACTGGCCAAATTATTCATAATTAAGGATGGAATTTAGAAATGTTAGAAAAATAATTTCTTGAAGGAAATCTCAGTATACAGAACATGATAACAAGTTTGTCCTTAGTATCTATGATTGTTAGAGGTGGGAAAATAACGTTAGTGCACACTTTTAAAATTTCTGTAACCACCAGAGCAAATGACAATCCTATTTTAAGAACCAAATTACCCTTTCCAGAGGTCAATAGCACTGCTGAAAAGACTTTTTTTTTTCACCTTAGAGAGCAGCAATATTGTGGTGTAAAATGATCTATCAAGAAGCAAAACAGGGCTGGAGAGATGGTTCAGCGGTTAAGAGCACAGACTGCTCTTGCAGAAGACCTAGGTTCAATTCCCAGCACCCACATGGAGGCTAACAAGTGTCTACAACTCCGGTTCCAGGAGATCCGACACCCTCTTCTGACCTCCGCAGGCACTGCACAACATGGATGCACCTTCTTACATGCAAGCATTATGCTCATACACATAAAATGAAAATAATATAATATTTTTAAAAACAGAACCAGAATTTAGACTTTAAAGAAACAAAAAAATAAATAAGGAAAAGCAAAACAATACCAGGTATGTGGCTCATGCCTGTAATTCCAGCACTTGTGAGTATCCCTACACATCTGAAGCCAGTCTGGGCTACATAATGAATTCCACGACAGCCTGGGCTTCAGTGTGAGACTGTATATTAACTCCTATCCCCCAAAAAATCATAAGGACTTAAAAGTAAGGGAAGATCATTTGAGAAGAGGGCTAGTACAAGGAGGTAAGAGGGGCAAATAAAGCCAAGTACATGATACACATGAATGGTAATATAAAGAAAACACCATTTCACCATTTTGTACAATGCAATGAATACACATGAATCAATGAATGAATGAATGAATGAATGAAGATAACATTGACATTTTTAAAGGATCCAGTTTAGGGGCAAAAACTGATAACATAGGTGCTGATGGCAAGAGGTGACCCCATTCAAGGTAAGATCTCCCAAGAGCAGGAAGCGTCAGGAATCTTTC